TAAAATCCAAAAAAAAAAAAGAAAAAAGGAAAAGACAAGCAGTTTAAGCCACCAGTACCTCGCGCAGCCATTTTTTCTCCAACTCACCACAGATTTTCGGGGTTTGGCTACCGAAGCAAAATGGCTGGCAGTGCCAGCCAAAAGAAGTTCCACGCGTTTTTTAATTTTGTCGTGCAAAGCGTTTCCAGGGTGAGAAAAATGCTGGCCAAAGGTAGTACTGGTGGGTTGAAAAATTTTCAATTTATCGGAACCAGATTTTGCTCAATTATGGCAACTCAGCTGTACAGCCCACCACAAGGTCAGTGCACCAAAGGTCTTTTTCTTTTCTTAAAAGTAATGAAAACAGCAACAAAAATTATCATCATTAGATCCCTCTGGTTATTCTTTGAATTCTTGTGGAGGTTATTCGAAGCTAGAGCATGTCCGGTTTCCTCCGTGGTAGGCTTACGCCCACCATCTGCTCCCATACCTCTATCATTAAACCACCAGTACTTGGCCCAGCTATTGATGCCGAGCCGGGATACCCCCTGCGCGCCAAGTTTTGCCGAGCCGCCAGGGCACCGTTTCGTTTTGATTTTGGCTGGCGCTTCCAGCCATTGCGGTTCGGTGCCCCAATGCGCGCAACTACCGGCGCGATAACGGGAATCGGCCGGGGCTTGCGGTTCGGTTCCTCGAAGCGCGCAACTACCGGTGCGTTAACGGGAATCGCACATGGCCGATATCTGGGCCGAGTACTGGTGGTTTAAGTGGATGACTAGGCGTTCTATTAGCATCCCCCAGAGTAACTCCAGCTTCCGTCCTCTGTGGGTTTTTACGGCCACCATCCACTCCCCCAACCTCTATCATATCAACGGGACCCACTCTGGGCTATTCTAATCTGACAGTATTCTCCATGCAGGTAACAGACCAACCTTTCACCCCCCTAAGACAGCCTCTAATCCAGGTTCCCCAATTATATCCTCCACCAGGGCCTATCCCAGCTGTACATCAACCTGGAGGACCCCTAAGACATCCACTACCGCAGGGGCCCCAACCCTCCAGTAGGGATAGTGTCCAACCCACCCTCCCCTCAGCGGAGTCCCCGATCAATCCTGTCTACCACAATGTTTATTTGTGAACTCTTTTTCTTCGGTATCAGACCTCGAACTTGGAACCTCATGCTTATCAGTGACCAGTGTTAACCTACCAAGCTAGAGTCTTGAATGGTCTGGACGTGTGCTACTCTTGATCTCGAGTAAGGGACAAGTGTGCAAGCATCCAGACAACCCCATGGACCAAGTGTGCAAGCAAACCGATCATAGTCTAAACCCAACATATAACACCATGGACACAGTGTCCGTAATAGCTTACCTGCGTCTGCCCAAGGGCGGTATGCAAGTGCCTGTGCGTTATGTGAATGCCCTCTGGTGACTCTCCGTGAAGGTGTAGAGTTTTGAACCCACAAGCTCAGAGCACAATGCGCATTTGCAACCAGTGCCCTAACAACTGTGCCACAGACTTTCATTGTAACCCGCCCCTCACCAATAGATCGGGTCCAAGCCATAGACTTAAAGTGTAACCCTGTTTCCACCGGATGAGGCCCCCCACCAATAGATTCGGCCCACCAGGGCACCTGGGCAAGGGTGTAGAATGGGAACGTGCGCATACCACTCCCCATAGCAGCCCCGGCCCCAGTTAATAATAATAAAAAAAAGAACTTCTCAAGTTGCCGGAGTCCATTACTGGTGCGGTAACGCTGGGGTGACACCTGCGCCCGTTTTCACATTTTTTGCCATTGCCCGAGGTGTCCCCCTGGGTCGGATGCTGCGCGTGGACGCTTGGATTCTGAGGGGACCTCACCAGTTGAGGTGGGACACGCCTGGAATGGAGACCAACAGCAGTTTGCCTTACATAGCACCACCCCCTCCTTCCCTCTTCCCTCCGGATGGCACCACAGGTCCTGGGATCTGCTCTCCACAGGTATTGGTAGCTGGTTTCCACAGGACTCCATGGTCCCATTTGTCATTGTCCTCTGGACGCAATGGCAACCACACTTTGCTTTTTATGCGTGATAGTAGGCTGATACGAACTACGGATGCGGTACGCCTGCCACCTAAAGTTTTCTTTGCCTATTTGTTTGAAATCCAACGATGTCGATGTCGCCATGCTGTGTTTTTTTTGCCTGTGTTGAACTAAAAGTGTGACTCCGGAGCAGTTTCCCCCAAAAGAAAGACAAGAAGAAAAGCAAAAATTCAGGGAAAACGGCAGTTTCAGTGCAAATTCACCGCTTCAAAACCAAAGTCACAGCTCGTTAAGGGGCCATTTTTCAAAGCTTTTGGTACTGCACCGAAATGGCTGGCGGTGCCAGCCAAAAGCGGGCTGTGATGCAGAACCTCACACCCCGCACGACGTTTCGTACCGAGGGATGCCGGATCAGAGTAATTGGGGACATGGCCGAGGATTTTAGGCAAAGCTTGAATCACCCGGACGGAACAGGGGATTCTCGCTTCATTTCGAGGTTACTCCAAAAATAAAGTTTGACAGATAGGGAATTCGAGGGGTAGACAGGGCCGACACGCGGGGTATAACCAAAATTCCGCTTCGTCGGGTGCCAGAGGAACGCGCGCGATGGAACCGCCGCTAGACAACAGGAACCGCTTCCCTCGCGTCAGATTCACGCCAGCTCTATTGCGAGCACCCAAGAGATAAGGAACATCTAAGCCTCTGAGTCGGATTCCTCAAGTTCTCGGAATTGAGACGATCCTTCGTACCCCAGCACCAGCATCCACCAGGAACACGAGTCTCCTTGCGGATACCAGTGACAGTTAAACTGGGGCCGCCGACCAAGGCAGCACCGTCAAATCAGTATAAGGTAGGACCAGGGGTGGGGAATAAAACTGATCAATCAGAACGAATCCACTCCCCCCTACGTGACAAGCCTTGGGCGGGATGTATAGATCAACCCAGTCGGTTTGCAACAACGCACTTCACACATCCACATCGCAGTACACACTACCTTCGTCTGCAGTCGAGAATGGCAGGAGGGTGTTGTGGCGGATCGACTAGAGCGTCGAGCCCGGGCAGCTACCCGCGCTCATGTGTAGCGTAGTACATCTCAACTCGATGCAAATCTTAATGGATCTCAACCCACTCTCTCCCACTTAACAACATGCAAGTTTGGACACAGCGTCGTTAGTCACTGAATCGTTAGAAGGACAAAATGGCCATGGCGGAGTAGCAAAGACATCGGGGGACGCGTGGAGACACATGCGACCAATGCCTCTTGTTATGATGACCAGCTGAGTGGAACACAGGACAACGAGACACGTGGGACTTGCGCGCGAGAGGGCGAGAGGAAAGAGAGGGAAGAGTGGCTGCTGGGTATGAGCATAATTTCAGCCATCCCGTAGCAGGGTATATAAATAATTTGGCAGGTTCACCTCAGCCCTGGGTATGCAAATCATTTTTCCTGGGTATGTCCATAATTCGTGCATTCCGGTAGTTGGTTATAACTGCAATTTTGTGGTACCAACCTGGGTCCACTCGGGTCGTGCGCATGCAAATATAGGTGTAAGTTGGAATTGGGACTGGCCCACCTGGGTATAGAAGATATTCCCATCTTTAAGAGGGTTACATATGAAATTTTCCCTTTTCTTTTTGGCGCTCAGGGCGAATTTAGGCTCGGCATCAATAGCTGGGCGGAGTACCGGTGGTTACATATGAAATTTCCCCTTTTCTTTTTGGCGCTCAGGGCAAATTTAGGCTCGGCATCAATAGCTGGGCGGAGTACCGGTGATTTAAGGGTGGGTAGCGCATTGGCTACCTTGATGCTATGACACTATTTGGCAATTAATCCCCTTGCTTGAGGGGGGTTTAAAGGGATCGAACATACGAACCTGAGAATCTGGTCCAAATCTCAGAACTTGCGGCTTCTGGGTGTCTTTACCACCAATCTGACAGAGGAAGTTTTCAGTCAGCTGACTGCCAGTGGGTGTGACAACACTGACAGGTCAGACAGAAACTACTGTTGCTCTAGAAAAAAACTAAGTTACCAACTGAGCTTCTACCTGTTGTTAATCTTCTTCCCTAGAGATCGAAAGTGGCGCCATTATGACTGTCTCCCTTTGGAGCACCTTTTTTTTGTTTTCTTTTTGTTTGGAGATGTGCCTTTGGATCCCTAATTTACGTACATTCGGAATGCTGAAGTTGACGACTACGTCCCATCGTCCCCTCCTCTGTACCTCCTCCTCCTGCATTTCCTGCTTGTCCTTCTCCTACACCTTTCCATTGTCTCCTCCTCCTCTTCTCCTCCTCCTGCCCTTCCTACTCTTTCACCTTCCTCCTCCTCCTCCTCCTCCTCCTCCTCCTCCTTTTCCTTCTCCCCCTCCTCCAATTTGGGAAAGGAAAGGGAGAGATGGTAGCCTGGAAGTGCCGTGTACCTACGTGGGAGAATCGCCGTACTGCTTCTGAACTCAAAGTCCCATTTTAATGAAGCTTTTTGCGCTACTTTCAGTGTCTCTCCTTTTCCTATCACCATCTTCTCTCTCTCTCTCTCTCCAATCCGTGTGTGTTCTTGGTCAACGGAAGAGGCGTCCTTCTCGTCAAATGCATACAGAGTTAGAGTTATCCAAACGCGCGCGCTGCAACGGCCATTCGCGACTCTATTCGAACTCCCTCTCTGCTCTCATGGTGAGACAGGTGAGCTAAAAAACAGGAAAAAAAGAGCTATAACTTTTTTCTTTCCCCTCAAACTTCAATGGGGTCGTGAATCTGGTCCAGATGAAGGTGTAAATCTGGTATATGCTAGACAAACTCTGACAAAGGAGTTTTTGAACTGCAAACAATGCAGTGAGACTGTGAGAGCATTAGCCTGGTCTTTTTGTCTTTTTTTTTTTAAAACAAAAAAGCCAGCTTTGGTCTCCTAGGCAGGGTGATAGGAGCACCTCCCCGTACTATTTGGTAGTAGTCACTGGCATGTGCCATCTATTGGTGGGAAGCAGCACCTGCGGCTGGAAACCGGGTCCAGCGTCCCAGATTCATTAAGGTCTGTGTTTGCAACTGGTGCCTAGTCCGGCGAACATCCAAGTCCTTTGCCCGCATCATTGGACTAGGAAGTCCACGCAACCCAAGCTTTTCCATTGCAGGTGTTGAAGTGGGAACTAAAAAAAAAAACAAAAAAAAAACTGGGAATCGACTGAAATGAACGACCCAGCGGATCTTGTCCTTAGGTAGATCTTTCCTAGGTACTCTTCCTGTGGGGTGTGGCCCTCTGTCAAAAAAAAAGAAAAAAAAGAAAAACAAAAAAAAGAATTACTCTGGGAAGAGTTCGGTCCACATTGGCCCTACAGTAACTGAACCTTAGATTTTATAAACCCAGTGAGGGTCGGACCCGACCAATAACCCAGACCCGACCCATAACCCAGAGCCGACCCATAACCCAGTGTGGCCCGACCCATAAGCCAGTGAGACCCGACCGATAACCCCGTGAGACTCGACCCATAGCTGGTTATGTATTTGCAACAGCGGTCCTCAACATGGCCAACTACTTAGCTGGAGCATGGTTTGAGGACAAGCGGGGGAGGGGTGTGAGAAGCATGGGAGAGGGGGTGTCGGGCAGAGGGGTAAGCGAAGGAAGAATCATTGTGCATGGCCATGTATGAAGGCAGTCAGGGGAGGAAAAAAGAAAAAAAGAAAAAAAAAAGAGAGGGAGTCCAGGGAGTAGCGAATGAAGGGAAGGTGGGGGAAAAGGGGGTGCAGAGTGGACGGCCACAACAATGCTATGACCAACCATGAGAATTGTTCGTTTTTTTTCTGAAGAAAACTTCAAAAAACTTGAAAAAAGGTGAATTCCTTGAGCCTCCCTCCACTACACAACACTCTACATGCATTTGGATGCTTTCTCGACCTGATATATTCAAAATGTCGATCTCGTCCCAATGCACCTGGAGGTCCGAAGGTGTCCAAATGCATGTAGAGAGCGAGGCTCCTTATCGCTAGATTGCCGAACCCCGACGACGACCCTATGTAACAGATGGGGTGGACATCGCTGCAATGTTGCCTGTACCGCAGCTACTGCAGAGCCTCTGTCGCTTAGCGCATGTGATGTTGCACTGATTTGTCATTCCTCGCCCTTCGGACGCCTTAATAACAGCTTGTAGGGCTTCTTTGATCCTTCGCGGGCAGAAAAGGGCAATCCTTGGCTGAGGGTTGCGAGAACTCAGTACCTTTGGCGTCCGGCTTGCACCGTCTCCCTCCTCGTGCTGTTGGAGATGGCAGCATGAGCTGATGCCTACACTTCCTCTTGGAGAGTCACCATGGTACAGGAGGTTCGAGTTGGAGTCAACAAGAAATGTGGACATGGAATCGGCCACCGTCACCTTCGTAGCAGCGCTGCAGGAGTCATCGGTCGTTTCCGTCAGGAAGAGGTCTATCCTCAACCTACCTCCATCTATGGCGACTATTTCTGCTTTGATTATCTTCAGCCTCAGGTCCTGAAATGTCTTGAGAATGTTGGGAAGCAGATCCGGACAATCTTCGCAGCAAATTGTTGCTCTGAGAATAGCCGAGCGATGCTCCATTGGACTGAGAGTGATCGTGGTCACATGGATATTGTCCTCCACATCTGTGGCAGGCAAGCTGCGTCGATGGCAGATTGATGATGACACTGTTGCTGTCTGATTCGTCGATGGTGATGCCACAACTGAGACCTGACGTTTAAGATCCTTCAAATAGTTTATGACGTCACCAAGAAGTGAAGCCTTGTCTGTCTGGTAATCATGGCCAGAAGCAACAAATGACAAACACACACACACACAATGCCATGCAGAGAGAGAGAGAGAGAGAGAGAGAGAGAGAGAGAGAGAGAGAGAGAGAGAGAGAGAGAGAGAGAGAGAGAGAGAGAGAGAGAGAGANAGAGAGAGAGAGAGAGAGAGAGAGAGAGAGAGAGAGAGAGAGAGAGATCAGTATGATTGGTTGCTTCAGAATCTTCTCCAGAAAAGAACATTGGCTAATACATTACGATGCAATGTCTTCTTCTTCTTCTTCTTCCCGCATTCATCTTTTCCCGTGTCTCGATCATCCGTGGTAATTTTCCCCCTGTGTGTTAGGCGAGACGCTGTGAAGGAATCTCTTCCATGTATATCCCCCCCCATCACACATGATGTATGCGCGTGCTGAGTTCAGAGTTCTACGAGTGAGATTGGTACTTTCAGTCTTCCTCTGGTTGCATTGTTGTTTCTCTGCACTCTGGTGATCGTCGCTTGGTTCTGAAAAAAAAAAAAGGAAGAAAAAAAGGCTTGGTTCTGAAAAGAATGGAAAAACAAAAGGCTTGGTTCTGAAGATATGTGTGCGACTGTCGCTGTGGATCCAGACTCTATAGGATGGCAGGTAAATACTAAATAACCATTTTAATGTTTTTTTTATTTATTTCTTAATGGTATTATGATTGTTGTTCAACAGCATTTTGATTTGTTTTGTTTTGTTTTGTTTTGTTTTGTTTTATTTTTGTCGTTATTTTGTTTTGTTTTGTTTTTTACAAAAACCTGATTCAAATTACAGGTGGAGGGCCCAAGGCAATACATAGGGTTTTTTTGCAAAACCTGATTCAAATTACAGGTGCAGTGCCCAAGGCAATACATAGGGCCTCTCCCCATTACTCTCGAAATGTGCAAAACGAGAGTGAATCTTCCACTGGAACATAGAAAGATACACCGCCATGATTTTCGTCTTTTGTGCATGTAGAAAGTAGTGGAGCGAGGCCCATAGTTTCAGAATAGCCCAATAGCTGAAGAGGTCACCTGGCCTCGGACCCGCAGCCCGAGCTGATAATGGAATTAACCGGAGGGATGTGGAAGGGAAGAAATAATTTAAAATGGTAGGGGGCAAGGATAATAATTAGACCCAGGTGGGCCAAGGAAAAAGGACCTATAGGAATATGGAATGGGACCACATATGCGGAAGACGGGAAGTAGGAAATCGGAGAAAAAAAAAGGGTGTAGGTGCTGGACCAAAGAAGGGTAGGGTACGGACCAGACCGGAGATATAATCATAAATACAATAAAAAAAAGGATGGGGCAGATTGACACCATGCCTACGGAAAAGCGGGAAGTACCGGGAAGAATCTTGACTGGGGACAGGATCTGATGCAGGGACTGTGGAATGGTACAGCACTTGCGAAAAAGCGGGAAGGACGGGAACAGGGGAATTGGGACCTTCAGCACCTGGGAACTCGACTGGGAATAAGGAGGCCGATACGAAAGAAAAGGCACGCCCAACAGAGATGCAGTCAGGGAGACAGAGAGAATGGGAATAAATTGGCTTAGATACTGACACTACCTACTGTGGCTCCGTGGAAAAACTCGGTTTCAGACTTGCCTGGACCATATAATCCAACCATGGCATAATTCCAATACGTACTCTGGCTGGTCTAGAGTTGGCATAGGTAAGTTGTGACAATCTATCTTCTGATTAGCACGACTTTCTGCGCGATTGCACTTTGGGGGTTGGACAGGGCCTCGGAGGGGCATGATCAAATTGCACAAGTGCCCCCATTCTTTTCTTCCTTTCCTCTCTGTTTTGTGAAAACCTGGTCCCATGGCGGTTGGTGTTTAGGACGCGCCTCAGCGAGCGTAGGAATAATGGTTGACGCGGCTTTTTCCTTTTTCTTTTGGGAATTGGGTAGGGAATTTCGGCGCGATCATATCGCGGGAAAATCTTTTCGAATTTTTGAACGTTGTGGAAAGAATGCGGGAGTCCACGGGGGCGATAGGAATTAGGACTCCTCGACGAGTATGGGTGTAACTGTAATTCTCTCGTTCTTGGCTTCTCTTCGCGCCGAAATGTGCAGCTTCTTTTCCTTCATCTCATTGGCCATAGTGGTGCATGACTGGATCGATGTGTGGAGAGTGGCTACGTCCCCCATGCGGCGGCCCAGGCATGCGGACCGTAGGCACCTCCTTCTTTCCTCTCTCCCCCTGCCCTCGCATAATCTCGGCTATCTCGTGCAATATGTTGACTGATATAAATTTTGCAAGCGCAACTAAATCGCTCTCAAATCAAACTTGGGAAGGTTAGCCCGGTCAAGAGGATTGGCTAACGAGTAGGGCCAACAAAGAGGGGAGTTCGGAGTTGGGCGATCTCACGACCTGGTTGCAAGTGTGCGGGGTTGACGTGCGACCACGACGGACTGTGGAGCATGAGCGTACTCGAGCTAAACGGGGTGACGACTCTGAGTTGCTGGTAGGTGTGAGGCGATGGACCACTTGCATTGGACCAAGAAGGGGGATGGTGAAGTAGTGAGAGCACGTGGGATGCTGGGGTGTGTGGGACCTCATCTCCTGACCCTCTTGGAACTTTTGATTTCGGAATTGCGAATTTTGTCGTTCCCATTCTTGTAATTACGGATGGATATCTGAGTGTATAAATCCCTTTCTTTCTTCGGAGTTCCTCTCACATCTCGTTCCTTTATGAATGATGTTGGATATGGTGTAGCATTGGTCGTTTTTATTTTTGCATGCCCACTTCCTGATTATGATTGGAGCACATGAATACATGCCTAGTGGCAGTTCGCTAAAATCAATGGGAAATAATGAAGTTGGTCATTTTTGGTTGTCTGATGAAGGTATGCGAGGTCGTGCATGCTCTATGACTCACCAACAGCACGGCCCGTCACATATACACGCGCTCACACAACTCATCAACGTCTAGCCTGTAAGTACCAGTCTGCATGGATAGGAACGACAACAACAACATGAACCCGTAACATATAATTGCACTAGCAATTGCATGTACCGACCGTCGAGGTTGTGCCGGAGCTAACGACAAAAGCACCTCCTCGAGACCTATCCTAGGTGCCAGCTCAGACATGCTGTGCCGACAATTATGGAAGCCCCTTCTTCGTCCGAGCATCTTGCATTCTCGTCCTTAGAGCCCTGACACTGGAGATCCTAATTCCGACTTGGGACTCCGCCCCCTTTTTCCTAAAATCCTTGGCACACCCCCTTTCTCCTTACTTTCGGGACCGCTCCCCACTCCGATCAGGAAGTCGCGCTGGGCGTGAGGTTGGGCGTCACAACATTGGGTTCCGCACTAGCCTGGAGTGGCACACAGACTGATCTAGAGTTGGCTTCGATAAGACACTGCCTATCGTGGCACCGTGGAAAGTTCGGTTCTGGATTGGCCCAGAGTGACACTCGTACCAACCGTAATATAATCCCAATAGGCACCCAAACTGGTCTAGAGTTGGCTTAGGTAAGACATTGCCTAGGGTGGCTCCATGGAAGCATTCAGTTCCGAACTGGCCTGGGATCATAACTAGAGACTAATAATAACCAACTAAGGGTGCAAGGGGGAGATGGTCTGGAGGTCTTCCTTGGCAGGAATCGGCCCTGTGGCCAACTGGTGCGGGTTACGGGATCGATAACCTTGCCCCCTCATCATGAACAATAACACCACCCCTAATACGACAATAATAGTAGGCTATGCTAGGAACATGGCGCCCGGGTTGGGTCAGAAGGGCTGCCTCTGGTAAGACCTTGGTCAGTGTACTGCCTAGGGACGGCTCTAAGGAATATTCGATTTCTGACCAACCTGGGCTGGTGCTCATAGGACAAAAAAAAAAAACGATCATGCTTTGGCGACCAAAGTGTCCGTGCGATAAGGCTCGATCGATAGTGGCTCAACTAGGGCTGGAAGAGGTTTGTCCTGGCCTAGTGCTGGTGTCTGCAACCGTTGTCCGATACTTTTTTAATTATTAAAATTTAAAACCTCGCCGCCTCACCCATATTCCTGCCGGTTGCAGACACCAGCGCTAGACCAGGACAAACCTCGCCACCTCACCTTACCAGGGAGCAGATGGAGCTCGAACAGATAGAGAGGATGCACCTAAGGTTAGAGGAGGAACTTGAAAAGGCTACTGACAGAGAGAAAAGAATTAGAGATAAAAGTGTCAAACTAGAGGGTAGGGAGGCGGACAAAGCTGCATTAGAGGGGTTAGATGACTTAGGCCTTGACAACACAGCAAAGGTCTTCAAGGCAAGCATCTTGTCCATGCATGCATACATGGACAGCAAGCTGTACGCTATCCAGGACACCCTGGACTAGTTCCTGAACGCCATGCATAGGCCAGGAATCCGACCAGCAGCTTTGCCATCGCTGCCATTCTCAGCGATGACAGACCCCTATGCCCCTCAGTCCGGACCACCACCAAGCGGTGCTTCAGCATCAGCCCTATCTCAGACTGTTGCTTCTTCATCTTCTGGTCCAGCGGCAGGTGCTACACCCCAGCCACCACCTGTCTCACAAGTGGGACAACAACAACCTTGGTATCCCAAGAGTCCAAGACCCCACTAAAGCCACCCGCCACCTTCTCAGGAGATAAGGAAGAGGCTCTTGACACTTGGTTAAGAACGGTTTCAGTGTGGGTGAGGGCGAAGAGGACGCTGGTAGAGGAGGAGGTGATAACTGCTATGTCCTACTTAGAGGGTTTGGCAACTCGCTAGCTTAATGGATTGGTGGCTTCAAAGGGATTCGGCAGGAACATGGGTGATTGCGCCAAGACCCACACCCTAGAGAGCTTTATGAATTTGGTAGAGGCGTGGTGGCAGAACCCTCAGCAAGCGCAGATAGCCACCGACGGGTTATTGACTATGAAACACCCGTGGACGCGTCCGCGGGGCCGAGCTCGGAGCGCGGACGTATTCATGGCCGCCTCCGCAGCCTACCGGACCCGATTTTACCAGATTTTTCCTGAATTAAATAATAGGCCAAA